TAATATCCGTCTGAAATTCTGGACTGTGGTCATATTTTTCGGTTAGGAGTCGTATATTTAAATAACTCACCGTGACTAGTGTTTTGCATTATGAAGTATATTATTATGAAGGTCAACACACTGCAATTTAGGTAAATATTTACCATTTCATTATTTCGCTTTCCAGCATTTACAGGAAACGCTTCATTCTAGAAAATGCTATCGCAAAACGGTTGGAAATAATAAATGTAACAGCAGAATACGTTCTAGCACAGTCACTCTACTAGGAGAGTGACTGTGGTCCTAGTAATTAACTAAGTGACTTCTAAAGACTGAATGGTGTTTGCGAACTTCATATTAGTTATAAACCGACGTTAGCTTCATGTTTATGTCACACCATGCAAACAGCCAAAAACATTTGCTTGTTTTTGAACGGAGCGAATCGCCAACCAGCCTACCGGCTTCAGTGATTCTGCATTATCCTACATTTCCTCACATGTGTATGGATTGCTAAGCAACAAACCTACTATGGTGGTTTCATGTTAAGAAAGGCTGGTAATTTTCATCTGGGAATTACATATCAGTGTGTTTTCGCATGTAATCTGAATGTCAGATCATTTTGCATATGTGAATGCATAATTGGCAAACAAGTATCTACAACACACACTGTTGATTTCTTTGTCTCAATACTAGTGCAGTAAATTTTTCAACAGTCTGGGTAATTAATTGAACTAAATGACTCTACACTGCTGATTATTGTGTGATAAAAAAGGCTTGGATAGGGATGTTAATTAAATAACGTTCTAATAATGTAATCACAAAGTCTGATGAAGCAGTAATATTATGCATATCAAGTACTGATACATGAAGGGAAATTAAAGAGTAACATAGTAGATGTACATTGGCTACCTTCTATTTAAACTTTGTTAGTTCGCTGTCGACTTAGTTCATATCTTTGTTGTTGTACACAGTCTTCAACTTTGACTTCTTGCTTTGACACTTGGTTTATATATGCCTTGAGTGGACTTCTCTCAGATTTGTTCATTTCGAGACGATATATTAAAATCTCTAGTGGATATTTTTGGTAAAAAATGGCATTTTCAACTGTCTAACAATACAGCAGAGCTATATCAGCCAACAGGGCTTGTATTCTTTAGTGGCATGTTCAACACTGAATATTGTCTGTA